GGCTTGCGTATCGCTCAGAGAGGCCCAGGAACCACAACAGACGCTGCCGCCTCCCGGCTCTCGCCTGCGTGCTGCCAAGAGACGCTATTTGCCTGCCCACACGCTTGCCATCACGAGTCAACAAACTCCCCGGACGTGAAACCCTTTATTCACCCCCCAAAGGCCAGATCCATCTCCCACCTGCCAAGGGAGGGATGCGGGGGTAGATTTCCCCTCTTGCAGAGGAGGAAAGTGCCTGGAGAGAGGAGGAAAATTTAGCTGCCTGCTTCCCAGTGGTTTCTTTAAATAGCAGTACACAAGGCAGTCTCTGGCCCGGGCGAGAAGCCCTCAGCCCATGGCTCCCGTGAACAGCATCTCCCAGTATCCAGTCCAGTTCTGGCCTCTGGCATCTCTTCCCACAGTCATGCTTTGCTGGTGAGGTCCAAGCCAGGTAAGGGGAGCAGCATGGCCATTCCAGAGAGCTCTGGGTGGAGGCAGAAAATCAAGGCATGATGTAAATCGCCTTTGGCACGGACCTGTTGGCATCACTGCTCTGCCCCAGCCCATCATCCCTGCCCTGAGTGCAGGTGGCACGTGGAACCCGGCAGGGAACTTCCTCATCCCGTGGGACCCACCCCACGGCCACGATCCCACTGTGGCCAGGACTGTCTGATATCAACTCCAGCACTGGTGCCTCTGTCCCTCCGGTCCTTGCACGCTGGATTTTTCCCAACTGCAAACTGTGGTGGGAGCGAGGAGCCGGAGCAGCCTGTCCCTGCCCACAACCCCTGGTGAGGAGGGACCCCAGCCCTCAGCAGGGCTGCGACTGCAGCTGCCGAGTCCTCTCGTCCTGGTGTTTCTTCCCCCGCTCCGGTGTGACAGGTTTCTCCTCTGGGAAGACGATGGTGGCGTATTCGGTCTGGTCGACCGGCTGGGTCTCAGGGGGGAACTGCGTGTGCTGGTCCCTCTGAAACTCCAGCTCACCATAGTCCACAGTAGACACGGACACAATGGGGGGCTTCTCTTCCTTCTGCAAGGAAACCCCGTTGTGGTGATTCATCATCCAGAGGTACCCACCATCCCCAGCACACGTCCCCTTTTCACAGCAAGTGCTGAAAGCAGCTCTGAAGCATCCCAGGAGGGTGAGAGCAATATAAAGCAGAGACACAGAGACCTGGGGTAGCATCTGCCCTGAGAAAACAAACCATGAGCCTGGGGTCTCCACCGAGGCCATGCGGGTCTCAGCTCTCTGCTCCTGCAGGCACATGGACCTCCCTGCCTGCCTAGCCACGGAAGGCAGGGTTGTGCTAGGAGCCCCTTTACCACCTCACCACTGGGCTCCGAGCTGGCACAGGGTGCATGAGGAGAGCATGGGGTTGAGTTTGCTCAGCCTGGAGAGAGGAGAGCAAGGGGGGACCTACTCACTTCCTTCAGCTACCTAATGGAGAGAACATGGAGCCAGATGCCTCCCAGAAGTGCCCGGCAAAAGGAAGAGAGGAAACAGGGACTAGCTGCAGCAAGAGACATTTTAGCTTAATATATTGGGAGGGAACATTTTCTCCAGTAACACAATCCACTGTCAAAGATAACCCCGCTTTGAGCAAGGGTCGGACTACAGAGGTCCCACCTTATCTCAGGCAGATTTTTGATTGTGATGGGGCTGTGCTACAGGTGCAAAAAAAGCCGTTGTAGCTCTGCAGAAAAGATCGAGCAGCATCAGAGAAGACAGGAGAAGCGAGAAGCCTGGGAAGGGCTGATAAAGGAAAGCCCTGCACCCTCCACACCCCAGCAATGCTGCAATGCTCCCCTGCAGCACGGCAGAGCATCAGAGACAGAAAACTCACCGCTTGCCTGTTTTCACTTGGTGGTTTCTGCACATCTGCAAAGTAACATGTTTGATTAGAAGATGCTTGCATGCCAAGACAGCGTAAGCATCTGGGGCTGGGGCTGACCCAGCCCCCACATCCTAGGAGAGTACTGGACACCACAACCATTGCACCACGCGTCCTCCTTCTCCACTCGGGGTCTAACACCCTGAGCATTGCAAGGACAAGTGAGATACCAGCCTACAGTCTAGGGTTTAATTGGGATTAGTGAGGTGCACTTTCTTGGGGGTCCCCTCTGGGATAGTCCACCCAGCTGCTCACGGCATGGCCAAGGCGATGCTCATGCTGTGGCGAGGAGACAACGAGATGCCCCAGAGGTGCTTGGACAAAGTGCATGGGAGGGACTCACATGCTGCACTAAGACACGGTGGTAAGGAGTGGTTCAGAGCCACAGCACATGGCCTGGGGGCTCTTTGCAGGGTGATCATGGCCCAAAGCACCCTTCTCCTCTAGTCATGGAGATACCTGTCCCACAGGGACATGTCACAACTGAGTTTAGCACGTTGAACCTACCCATGTAGCCCAGAGAGCTGCAGGTATCTGGCTGCCCCTGGTTTCAAGCTGGGTTTGTTGGCTAAGCATAAGCCCGTCAGGTACCCTGGCAGACCCCAGCTCCTTGATGTGGCACAGCCCCCATAGGGGTTCATACCTCCTCTCCTGTATGTGACGGTGAGGTAGCCAAAGATCAGCAGCACAACCACCCCAGCCAGCATTAGGGTACCCAGGAGTAGGGCCTTGATGTGGTCCAGATTATTGCTTTCCTCTGTATCAGGCGCGTCGGTGGCACTTGTCTTCTCAGGGGCTGCTGTAATGGCCATCCAAAAAAGGGAGAACAAAACAGCAGGTCAGGAGTGTATAATGGCCTCTGCAATCCCTGGGAAAGTCAACAGGGGAACACAGGGGCTGTCCCCAGAAAGGGCTCGGTCCCAGGCATGCTGCCACAGCCCCACCATCCCTCCAGGGGCTCTGAATTTGGGCTGACACGGGGCATGTTTTGGCCATGTCCCATTCTTTCTCATCGCAGGTGGTGAGCATGATGTCACACCACTGAAAGCTGGGGTTCAGGGGGCCAGGGCACCGCAGTCCTGTGGCATGACCCTATGCCCAGAAGAACCCCGTGGAGGACACGGCTTCTCCAAGCCTCCCAGCTGCTTCGGCGTCCTGGGGCCAGCACAGCTTCAACTCATGTTGGGAGGAGATGTTGTAAAAGTAACTTTTGCAGTGTTTTTCATTTTTACAAAAGGCCATATTCAGCCCCTCAAAGCCAAGCTGACAAGCAAGCACATGGCATATCTTCCTGCAAGATCTCAGTCTCCCACACCATACTATGAGACCCTCCCAGGGCACGGTTTTGCAAGAACAGTATCTACACCGACACTGGCTGTGCGAGGGGTCTAAGCACTGGTCATCACCGCAAATACGAGCCCTGTCCCTAAATAATGGAGCTGTTCAGGGGTGCAGGCAGCTCCCTGCGCTGGTCTACTGCTTCCATCCATGGGTGAAGGCAGCTCCCTATGCTGGTGTCCTGCCTCCATCCTTGGTTGAAAGCAGCTTCCTATGCTGGTGTCCTGCCTCCATCCATGGGTAAGGTCTCACTCCTCCCCACAGCATCAATGCAGATGCAGCCCCAGCAGGATGGAGACCTCCTGCCTCAGGGCCAGGTCCAGCTGCAGCGTGGATGGGGGAGGACAGCCTGCATCCCTGGGCATCAGCCAGGTATGCAAAGGAGAGGGGAAAGGGCAGCGCAGTGCTCTCCTGACCCACACCAGGTCCTCCCCCCGTGGGGTACTGCCTCCCTTGTGCCCTGGGGCTGCAGTGTCCCTGAGGGCCATAGCACCAAGGGACAGCACCAAGGACCTCTCCCCATCAGCTCAGCCCCCAGGCTGACCTGTGACCACCAGGTGGGACCGATTACTCTCCATCACTTTGTCGGGTTCAAAGAAGGTGATCAGCCCGCAGTAGTAGGAGCCCGAGTCATTCTGGTGAAGGTTCAGGATCTCCATCTTGAAGGCAGGAGTGTGGTTGGTGAGCAGGTACTTCTCTGTCTTTGTCTGGGGGTTGTTCCGGCTGATCTCAGCGATTTTTTGGCCTTGGCTGTGGTTGGTCTCCTTGTACCAATTGAGGCTGTACTCCAAGCCAGAGCTGCTCTCCATGGAGATGTTGCAGAAGAAGGTGGCTGAGCTGCCCACAGGGAGAGTTAACATGGCTGGGAAGAAGGTCACTGTTCGGGAGAGAAGAAACAAGGAACAGACACGGTTACAGCAGGCACAGGTCTCAGACACAGCTGTACCTCCCGTGCAGGAACCAGGGATGAACAGAGGGTGAGAGCCCACCATCATCTCCCGTAGCGCCCCATTCCATTAGGAGGTGATGGGCTCCTACGTCCCAAACCCAGAGGCTCCACGCATGCCACAGCTGTTTCACCCACAGCTCCTTAAAGCGACAAAAACCTGAAGGTGAGCACTTGTGAGCCCAGCCCCACGCCATTGTCAGCACCCGGCTCACCTGGGGTTTGCCAGCAATGCAGGCAGCCTGATGCTTGGCCAGTCCGCAGCATCACCCCAGATCGCGAGGAGGAACATCAGCCCATGTCTCTCCCCTCCTGAGCATGTGCCTGCCAGCTGGAGGGGAATCCTCAGGGGTAGTACTTGTACCATGAAGTGGTTTCAGCAGAGCAAATTGTGCTCTGGGCTACCCAAAATTAACCCAGAACATCTGTACTGGGGAAAACAGACTTTGGGGGTTGTATTATTTTTAAATCTATGCTGTATTTTAATGTCTGAGTCATCCTGCCTCCAGCTGATGTTGCATCTCAAAGAGAGCAGAGGAACCGAGTCCCGGGCCGGCACAGTGCCCTGTGGCGCAGCCCATCGCGTGCCCGGCTGCCTGCCGGGGTGCTCCAGCTCTGCCCCCTGCCCCACGCTGGGAGCATTGGGTGGGCAGGGGCTGCCCAGGGCACGGCATTTGCCATCTCCAGTCTGAGACCATCTGACAGGGCAGAGAGACCTGGAGCTTACGATGCCATCCCTTCCCAGCCGCCTGCCCCCCCCTCGTGTGTACGTGGGCAGCCAGGCACCCACCCAGGGGGGTCCTGGCCAGGCTTGCCAGGCTGCTCCCAGCACAGAGGGCAGCCAGCCACGGCCGCAGCCCCCCAGCCCCTGCCACCAGCCCTGTTGCTTCACCACATTTCCCTGTCCGTGACCCCAGCGGGTTCTTCCCTTCACAGCAGCGGGGATGCTGTGAACACGGCTCACAACTCCCCGACTCAGCCAGCCCCATCCAGTGGGAAGAGGCAGCTGCTGCATTAACTTTTGTTTGGAGCAATAAGAATCAGGAAGAAGCATTCTTCACACAAGTTATCTGACCAAGCAATTCAAACCACCAATGCTTTAAAAAGTCTCTGCCATTAAGAAATTTTTCTTCCCTTTCCAGAAATCGCCACCGGTAGTAGCCCCAGGACTTGCAGGCAGAGTTAGAAAGTCCCTTCCATCCCTCCAGCACTGGCCTGAGGCCATAGGACCACGACCTCAGCATCACTAACCAGAAAAAGGAACCAGGCTGATTCCTTGAATAGATACAGGCTTAGCTGGAAAACTGGGCTGAGAAATGAGGGATGAGGAGGGAGGGAGGGAGCTGCTCCAGCTCCTGAAGACAGCACTAGCTGTGGCGGTGCCCACACCGAGAGATGTAATTCTTGCAGTGTTATGGGTCTCTTGTGTTTAACAGGAAATATTCACCCGGCTCGGGCCTTTGCTTTCTACCCAGTGCCGCTGCCAGAAATGAATGAAGCTTGGAAGACTTCTGAAAGCAGAAACTGGGTTTACATGTTTCCCCTCATCGTCCCAGCATCAGAGGTAAGATCCGCTCCAAGGGATGCCCAGCCCTGCGCCCACCCTCGGGGCAGAAAACACCCAAAGCCACGAAAGAAAGAGCTGGGCTGTGAGGAAGGGGACACACAGCTTCATCAGGGCTCTCGCTCCCTCTGCCCGGACTCACCCCCTTCCCTTTCATCTCCCCTCATCCCCCAGATTTCACCCCAAGAAAAACCGCACACAGGACCCTGCTTCAGCAGGGGGGTTGGCCTAGATGACCCACAGAGGTCCCTTCCAACCCCATACATTCTGTGATTCTGTGATTCTGTGACCCTGGCTCTCTCAGGGTCCAGTCCAAAGCAGGAGGTGCAGCCCACAGCTGTGAGACCCAGAGCAGAAAACCCCAGACCCCGCATGGCGCTGGCAAACCCAAAGGCTCAACACCAAATCCCGACCGCGGCCAATGTACCCACAATGTGGCTCTGGTGCCGGCAGCACAGGCTGGGAACCTGTCCCCTTCTCCATCCTTTAACCCCCTTTCTACCCCGAGATTCCCCATTTCCCTTGCTTCAGCGGTGCATACCCAAAAGCTTTGGGTTTTTTGCGTTCTTGATGCCAGAGCTATTTTTAACTACAAAGCTCCCAGCCCTTCAACACTTTCCACCGGCTGCAAACGACACGGGCTACACCAGCAAGCGCGCCGGGCTCCGGTACCTACCCCGGCGGAAGCCAGCCAGCACTGGGACACAGCAGAGCAGGATGGCGCAGAAGCCGGTCAGGGCCATTTCCACGCTGCCCCACATCATCTTCAAAGCACCCGGAGCCATGGCGAGGCGGTCAGACGTGCCGTGCCGTGCTGTGCCGTGCCACACTGCCCCTGGTTCTCTCCGTGCTTCCTACCCCGCAGCGGCAGCTTGCTCTCTGACTAGCATGGCAGGGGCTGGGGTGGAAATGTAACGTACCCATCTCTGCCCCAGAGGGAAACCCGGGCTGCCTCCCGCCCCCAGCTTCCTCTTGGCGGAGGCAGGGATCAGCTGAGCTGAGCCTGGCCCCTTCCCCTCCCCCGCAGGCCCCCAGCCACTGAGCGATTGGGATGGGTGCTGCTAAATCCCCACCCTTTTTGGGAGAGGTCCCACAGGGGACATGTCCTCGGCTCCAAGCCTGGCTCATGACTAAAGGGCTGTCTCGGGCTCTGGAGCACCCATGGGTGCTTCTGCTGGGTGCCCATGGCATGTGGCAGTGGGCAGCTGGGCAGGGTCCGAGCAGCCATGGGGCACTCTCAGTGTCTGTTGGCAGGCTGCTCCCACCAGGAAGGGATGGGAGAGGAGGGAGAGGGACAAGGAGAAGGAAGAGATGGAGAAGGAGGAAAAGGAGAAGGGGAAGGAGAATTGAAAAGGAGGAGAAGGAGAAGGAGAAGGAGAAGGAGAAGGAGAAGGAGATGGAGAAAGAAGGAGAAGGAGGAAATGGAGAAGGAGGAGATGGCGAACGAGAAGGGGGACAAGGAGAAGGAGGAGATGGAGAAGGAGGAGGAGAAGGGGAAGGAGACAGAAGGAAAAGGAGAAGAAAAAGGAGGAGATGGAGAAGGAAGAGATGGAGAAAACGAAGGAGAAGGAGTTTCGTCTCCTTAGATGTGTTTCTCCACAGATTTGCAAAGAGCAGGGGCAGGTTCCTTCAGCCAGGGTGCTGTTATTGGGGTGACCTTTGCAGCAGACGTCTTTAATTTCTCCACTGGTGATGCTCCCCGCTCACCTCAGTGACTAATACTCGCATAGGAAATAACCAAAGGTGAAAGCACACCGTGGCTGACTCCTCCGCTTCTCTCAAACACAGCCTCACTGCTCTGCAATTTTGGAAAGCGTCAGGGGAAAATTAATAATCGGGGTGAAGGATGCAATTCTCATGATGATTTCATTATCTTCTGGGCTTTCAGAAATGAGCTGCGGGGCTGGGGCTTGCTCACCTCTCGCTTTCAGACACGGCCCTGGCAAGCGGGTGGGTTGGAGGAGCCAGCTCTAATTTGGGATGGCCAAGGAGGGTGTTCTGAGCTGGGGCAGACAGTGCTCACCCCAGGCTGGCAGCTCAATCCAGCCTGTCCTGGGTCCTCTTTTCCATTCTCCCCTTGGCATTGCAGCATCACTCCTTTCTCATGAGCCTCTGGCCCTGTTTGTGCCACAGAGCAAGCCTGGGGGGCTGTCCTGTCCTTGTCACCTTTCCATGCCACCTGGCCAGAGCCCACCACCTGGCAGGGTGGCAAGGGGAGCGCTCTCCACCACGTGCAAAGGTGCTGATGGGCTCCAAGGTGGACATCACCTCTTCCTTCGCAATTTCCTGCACTCTCATTAAAAAAACTTCTAACTAAACTAAACTACGCTGAATTCCAGAAAATAAGGAAGCTCACAGCAAGGAGGCTTTTCCACCCTGAGGTTTTGTGTCCCCAGATGGTGACACCAGGCACCCGGGCCAGGTGTGGGGAGGTTTGTTTGGCACTTGCAACATGTTTTGGTTTCTAGAGGCGGAAGATGTGATGGGTATCACTGCCGAGATCGCAACTCACTAAGCCAGGGAT